TATGCCTTTTATCATTTTGAGGTAAGTTCCTTCTATACCCACTCTTTTGAGAGTTTTTATCATGAAGGGATGTTGCATTTTATCGAATGCTTTTCCAATGTCAATTGAAATGATCATATATGGTTTTCATCCTTTGTTGATATGATGCATCACAGTGATCGATTTGTGTAAGCTGAAAATTCCTTGCAACCCTGGGATGAATCCCACTTGATCATGATGAATAATCTTTAGAATATATTTTTAAATTTGGTTTGCTTGTATTTTGTGGAAGATTTTTGTATTTATGTTCATCAGAAATATTGGCCTATAGTTTTTGTTGTTGTGGTGGTTGTGTCTTTGGTTCTGGTATCAGGGTGATACAGGCCTCATAGAATGAGTTTGGGAGTATCTCTTCCTCCTTGATTTTTTGGAATAGTTTCGGTAGGATTGGTATTAGCTCTTCATTGAGTGCTTGGTAGAACTCAGCAGTGAAGCCATTGGGTCTTGGGCTTTTCTTTGATGGGAGAATTTTTATTACTGCTTCTATCTCATTACTTGTTATTGGTTTATTCAGGTTTTGGATTTCTCCCTGGTTCGATATTGGTAGGTTGTATGTGTCTAGGAATTTATCCATTTCCTCTAGGCTTTCCAATTTATTGGCATATAGTTGCTCATAGTAGTCTGCAGTGATCCTCTGGATTTCTGCAGTATCACATGTAATGTGTTCATTTTCATCTTGAATTTATTTATTTGGCTCATCTCTCTTTTTTCCTTGATTAGTATGGCTAAAAGTATGTTAATTTTGTTTATCTTTTCAAAAAACCAACTTTTTGCTTCATTGATTCTTTGTATTTTTAAAATTTCAATTTCATTTATTCTTGCTCTGATCTTTATTATTTCATTTCTTCTATGAATTTTGGACTTGGTTTTTTCTTGTTTTACTAGGTCTTTGAGATGCATCATTAGGTTGTATATGTGAAGCTTTCCTACTTTTTTGATGTAGGCACTTATTACTATAAACTTTCCTCTTATTACTGTTTTTACTGTATCCCATAGGTTTTGATACATTGTTTTCATTTTCATTTGTTTTGAGAAAATTTTAAATTTTCTTCTTAATCTCTTCATTGACTTACTGGTCATTCAGGAGCATATTGTTAAATTTCCATGTGTTCGTATAATATATTTCTTATGTTCCTCTTGTTATTGATTTCTTATTTTATTCCATTGTGTTCAGAGAAAATACTTGGTATGATTTCAATTTTTTTTGAAATTATTAAGACTTGTTTTGTGGCCTAATGTATGGGCTACCCTTGAGAATGACCCATGAGCTGAGGAGAACACGTATTGTGCAGCTGTTGAATGAAATGTTCTATAAATATCTATTATGTCCATTTGGTCTATCATGCAGGTTATGTCTAATGTTTCTCTGTTGATTTTCTGAAGGATCTGTCCACTATTGAAAGTGTACTGTTGAGGTCTCTCCAACAATTATTGTATTGGGGTCTATCTCTCTCTTAGCTCTGATAATATTGACTTTATATACCTGAGTGCTCCAGTGATAGGTGCATATATATTTAGAATTATTATATCCTCTTGATGAATTGACTCCTTTATCATTATATAATAACTTCTTTGTCTCTTTGTACAATTTTTTCCATCCTTTTGTTTTCAGTCTATGTCTATCTTTATAGGTGAACTGTGTTTCTTGCAGACAACATGTGGTTGGCTCTTTTTTCTTTTAATCCATTCAGCCACTCCATGTCTTTTGATTGGAGAGTTTAGTCCATTCACATTCAATGTTATTATTGATAGGTAAGGATTTACTACTGCTATGTTATTATTTTATTTATGGTTGTTTTTTGGTCCTCTCTTTCTTTCTTAATTCCTTTCTGTCTTTGTTTGTTGAAAGTGATTTTCTCTGGTAGTATGTTTTAATGTCTTGCTTTTTATTTTTTGTGTATTTGTTGTAGGTTTTTTGATTTGTGATAACTATAAGCCTTGCAAAGAACATTATATAACCAATTATTTTAAGCATACGACAGCTCTGCTTACAAACAAACAAGCAAAGAAACATCTAACAGAAATTCCACCTTTAACTCCATCCCCCCTCACTTTTTAACTTTTTGCTGTTTCTAGCCATATCATTTTATACTATCTTTCAAAAAGTTGTTGTAGCTATTTTTGATAGGTTTGTCCTTTAGTTTTCTTACTTAATAGGTAAGTGGTTTATGCACAGTGATTATAGCAATAGAGTATTTTGTATTTGTGCACTTACTATTATAAGTTAGTTGTATACCTTCAGATGATTTCTTAATATTCATTAACATCCTTTTCTTTCATGTTGAAGAACTCCTTTTAGCATTTCTTGTAGGATAGTTCTGGTGTTGATGAAATCCCTCAGCTTTTATATATCTGGGAAAGTCTGTATTTCTCCTTCATGACTGAAGGATATTTTTGCAGGATACCATATTCTAGGCTTAAGGTTTTTGTCTTTCAGCACTTCGAATATGTCAGGCCACACTCTCTCCTGGCCTACAAGGTTTTTTGTTTTTTAATCTCAAAATATCGTGGGGGTACAAATGTTTTTGGTTACATATATTGGTTTTGGTATACTTGAGTCAGGGTTATAAGTGTGCTCACCACCCAGATAGCGTTCATTGTACCTGTTAGGTAGATTTTTACCCATCCCCTTTCCCTCCCTCCCCTCTTCTCCCTGATTGATTTCTACTAAGTTTTACTTCCTTCTGTGTACATGTTTGCTCATCGATTAGTTCTAATTTAATAGTGAGTACATGTGGTGTTTGTTTTTACATTCTTTAGATACTTCACTTAGGATGATGGTCTCCAGTTCCATCCTTCTTCATGGCTGAGTAGTATTTCATAGTATACATATACCACATTTTGTTAATCCACTCATGAATTGATGGGCACTTGGGTTGATTCCATGTCTTTGCAATTGTGAATTGTGCTGCAATAAACATTTGATTGCTGGTGTCTTTTTGATAAAATGACTTCTTTTCCTTTGGGCAAATAACCAATAGTGGGATTGCTGGGTCTAACGGTAGGCCTACTTTTAGTTCTTTGAGGAATCTCCATTACTGTTTTCCATAGAGGCTATACTACTTTGCAGTCCCACCAACAGTGTATAAGTGTTCCTTTCTCTCTGCATCCACACCAGCATCTATTGTTTTTGGACTTTTTAATAAAAGCCATTCTAACTAGGGTAAGGTGATATCTCATTGTGGTTTTAATTTTCATTTCCTTAGCTGTGCAGAAGCTTTATAGTTTAATCAAATCCCATTTATTAATTTTTGTTGTTGCCATGATTGCCGTTGGGGTCTTAGTCATAAATTCCTTGCCTAGGCCAATATATAGGACAGTTTTTCCTACATTTTCCTCTAGAATTCTTAGGGTTTCATGTTTTATATCTAAGTCTTTTATCCATCTTAAATTAATTTTTGTGAGTGGTGAGAGTACATCAAAAAAATAATCTAACAGGACCAAATGGGCTTCATCCCGGGGATGCAAGGATAGTTCAACATATGTAAATCAATAAATGTGATTCACCACATAAACAAAAGCAAAAACAAAGACCATATGATCATCTCAATAGATGCAGAAAAAGCATTCAACAAAATCCAGCATTCTTCCATGATAAAAATCTCTCAAAAAACTAGGCATAGAAGGAACATATCTCAGAATTATAAATGCCATATATGACAAACCCACAACCAACATCATACTGAATGGGAAAAAGTTGAAAGCATTCCCCCTAAGAACTGGAAAAGGGACAAGGGTGCCCACTGTCACCACTTCTATTTAATATAGTGCTGGAAGTCCTAGCCAGAGCAATAAGGCAAGAGAAGAATGTTAACGGTATCCAAATTGGGAAAGAGGAGGTCAAAGTGTCGCTCTTCACTGATGATATGATCTTGTATCTAGAAAACCCCAAAGATTCCACCAAGTCCCCAGAAATTGATAAATAAATTCAGCAAAGTCTCAGGATATGAAATCAATGTACATAAATCAGTAGCATTTCTACATACAAATAACAGTCAGGCCAAGAGTCAAATCAAAGACTCAATAACATTCACAATAGCTACAAAGAAAATGAAATACCTAGAAATATACTTAATCAAGGAGGTGAAAGATCTCCACAGGGAGAACTACAAAACTCTGAGGAAAGAAATCACAGAGGATACAAACAAATGGGAAAACTTTTCCTGCTCATGGATAGGTAGAATCAATATTGTTAAAATGTCCATATTACCTGAAGTGATTTATGGACTCAATGCAAACCTCATCAAAATTTCAATGTTGTATTTCACAGATCTAGAAAAAATAATTCTATGCGTTGTTTGGGACCAGAAAATAGCCCAAATAACCAAATGCATCTTAAGCAAAAAGAACAAATGTGGAAACATCACATTTCCAGACTTCAAACTATACTACAAGGCTGTAGTAACCAAAGCAGCATGGTATTGGTACAAAAATAGAGACATAGACAAATGGAATGGAATTGAGACCCCAGATATAAAACCATCTACCTACAACCAACTGATCTTTGACAAAGCAGACAGCAATGTACACTAGGGAAAAGAATCCCTATTCAATAAATAGTGCTGAGAAAATTCAGTGGCCACATGCAGAAGACTGAAACAGGATCCCTTCCTCTCACCCCTCACAAAAATTAATTCAAGGTTTGTTTAATTTCATATTAAGCCTAGTTTGTACTATACTGTCAAATTCAGCCTTAAGGATTACTTTAAACTTTCCTAGGGTATTTTCAGATTTGCATTGTTTTTAAAATATGTAAATACTAAGAGAACATTCCATTTAATACCATTTTTATTAAATTAACTTTGAAATACAAAATCAGAGGAAAGTCCTATAGTGAAATCACATATTTACTAAATCCTGGGGTCTGTGTCTAGGGTCTCTACATATTTGTACTTTTAAATTTTTCTATCATATGAGATAATTCATTAAAAGAAGCAGGCAGGTAATGACAAATAAACATTTTAATGATGCTCGAGTTCTGACATTTGCAGTTTTATTTTTCTTGGCTCATAATGACGTGTAAGTATTTTGGGCCCCAGTAGGCCAATAAATAGAGCCCCATTTGGAGCTGTGATCAAGATGGCTAAAAATGCTACTGTCATCACATTCCTTGAATACGATTCCAAGTGGGGCGCAGAGACTCTTGCTGTTTCTAGAGCCAGAGGACCTAACACAGCCTGCATTTGGTGGGGGGAGGAGGGAAGGAGGGAATGGGGCATAAAGAAAAATATTAAAATGGGTTAATATATAATAAAAGTATATTGCTCTATTAAACAAAATCTAGTACTAGATTAATAGGAAAAAACATAAGACTAAAAGTGCTGAGTATTTTTCATAAATTACTCACCAACTATGTTCTTCCTAGCAAATATATCTGGGAGAAGGGTGCAATAGTGACGAATTAGCATGCAGAAATTTGGGGGCTGATTCTGCACTCTCGTCCTCTCAGCTTTTCCCTATTCAAATATCTCTTTTGAGTGCTCATATTACCCTCAGAACATCAGGAGTTCTAATTGAACCAGAGTTTTGCTTAGTTGCTTTTACCATGTACCACTAGATTCTTCGCTGCAACAAGACAAGATAAAATACTTAGGTTTCTTATGATCTTCTGGGATTTGTTGCTCTTCTCATCGTTCTTCCTACTTTTGGGGCAGTATATTACAGCAGAACTGACAAGACGTTTGGAATCCAGCAAACTGGGTTCGAATCCTGTTTTTGCCACAACCAGGTTAGTGGTCTTGTGCAAGTGACTTAAACTCTCTAACCTTCTAATTACTTACTTGTAAAATGAACAACAAAATACTTACCTCACTGGGTGGTTGTGAGGATTAAATATGAGAATGCAAGAACACCTGGCATATAGTAGGTCTTCATATCATAGTAACTTTCTCCCCCCTGCCCCACTCCTCATCCCCTGCTAGTCAGGGGATGAATTCTTTTTCCCCAGTTATCTTCTATCATATTTATTTTTAATAATATAAAGCAATTTCTTATCCACCCTCTTTCTTTGTATTTTCTACTCTAGGCATGAAATTACCTTAACATTTTTAGGGATTAAACATAAATATATAATATATCTTCTATGGAATTGCAAAGTAATAGCATAATGGTAGAAGCAGTACCTCTGATATGGGACATCATGGCAAAAGAAACCCTCAAATTAATATCATTTTCCATATCAAAAATCAGTAATTAAAAATGGTATAGGTTTTATATAATATCTTATTTTATATTTATTTTTTGAGACAGGATCTCACTCTGTTGCCCAGGCTGGAGTGCAGAGGAGTGATCATAGCTCATTGCAATCTCGAACTCCTGGGCTCGAGCAATTTTCCTACCTTGGCTTCCCAAAGCATTGGGATTATGGGCTCGAGCCACTGCACCCAGCCCAGCTTTGTATAATGACTTTTTATTTACTGAACACAAGCCAATGTGCTAGATGCTAGGGAGAAAAAGATAAATCAGGCAGAAAACCAACTCTAAAGAATCTTACTGTTTAGAAGAGAATTTGAACATAAAAGAACTGCCAAAAACCATTGACTTTCAAGACATGATGATGATAATAATGGTGAAACTAATAATAATATTTATAGAGTACCATTCTTAAAGCTTTCCATTTATTAACTCACTTAATCCTTATGACAATCCTATTATGTGAGGACTACAACTAGATGACAAATGGTTTCCACCTAGTGAATGAGATTTAATATTATTTCTTTAAAAAAATCCTATTAGCAAAGTGATCTTACTTTTGTGAACTAAGTTCTTTATTTACCCTCTTAATATCTTCCATTTTTTTCCACTGTAATTTTCATTAGTATTTCTAAACTGAGGAATAAGAGAAAGAATTGAGGCTTAGCCAATTCTATGTAAGCAGCAGAGAATGGAGGAAGGAGATAAAGGTGAAAAGTTCTTAAATTTAAATTTAAAATATTTGTTGATCCAAGTCATTTATGACATTATTGTCATCCATCGTTGCTGCTGTGACTCTCTACTTGCATAAATAATTAATTTCATATGTCTTGCCACTCCCTAAAACCAGCTCAATATTCTTTATGCAGAAGACAGCACGGACCCAGTAGACAGAAACAGGCAGAAGCAGAATAATATTGCAGGACTTGAGTGGGTGGTCTCTTTCCTCATACCTGCTTTTCTTTTTTCCTTAATTTATGAAAATTATGAAATAATAAAACAAAATTGCAAGTGTATGGTTGGAAGGAGAGAGAATAGAAGGATGATAGATACTCCTTTTGTAGATTTATTATTCCCTACAGTAGACATTAAAGACAAAAAGTTATTATTTATATTTCTTGAAGGTAAGATAAAACAACATTCACTGAGCACCGCCATATTCCAGAGACTGTGCTAAGCACTTTACATGGATTATCTCATTTAATCCTCACAACACCACGATGAAATAGATACTCATAGACCTCATTGTAAAATGAGGAAATTGAGGCACTGAGAGATTAGGAAATAACTTGCCTAAGGTTATAGGAAATAATATGGTATTTAAAAGAGGCAGTCTGGCCCCATGAGCCTGCTTTTTTAATCATGATAATAGAGAATTTTGTTGCATGGAAATTTAGGAGCTTCTGTTTTGGAATAACAAGAAAAGAATCCTAGAAAATTAAGGTATGATGCTGCCAAGTTAAATAGTCTAACAATAAACGGCATTGTCTTTAAGTGGGAGGAGAACATCATTGAATAACAGGGCAAAATTATAAAGACTGTCATTCGTTCATTCATTATTGTAGACATATTTATTGCAGACATGCAATGCATATCTACCTTCTGTGTGCCAGGCACTCTGGTAAGTGCTAGGGGAAAGTAATGGGAAAAAAATGCAGACACTGTCCTTGTCCCTCCTATATAGTTGATTGGGAGGATTCGGTCATTAATCAAATAGTTAAAAACAATATATGTACTTTGTGTGATGGAGTGAGTGACAGGGGTAGGAAAGGTGTTTTTAAAAAATCAATGTGTCTCTACTTTAAAATCACAATATTTAGCTCTATGATATTCAGTAAAATGTAGAAATTCCAATATTGAGATATACTCCTATCTTATATTTTGGGAAAATACAAAAAATATTTTTATAAATTTAGGAAGGATTTGTCATTAAAAGTATACATTTCAGTTTCAGAAGAACTGCTTTCAAAACTGAGGTTTAAAAGTTTACATTAGTCTTATAAATAGTTATGATCAATCAGAAATTTTAAGAGTAAGGCTAAGAGCTCACATTTTGTGATTAGAGTAACATTCTTCATTTAGAATTTTTAAAAAATCATCAAAACTAAAATATTAGAATGACTTAATATATTGTTACCTGGACTGTAGCTTTGGGCATCCATGATAAAGCAATAAATATTTTCTCCTTAAAACTAAAACCAGCAAAACACATCAAAATATAAGTGGCTAAAATTCGAACACATAATGCCAAACTCATTGTAGCAACACAAATGCCTACAACAGATACAAATAAACATAAATAACAAAACATTGGGATGAAGTGATTCTTTATACCTAGAGACATGATTTCTAAACCTTTTGAAAGCATTTTAAGGCTATTCCCTCTTTATGTCTTTATCTTTTAAGTAAAAATAATAATTATAAAAAATCAAAGTATGAGTGAGGCTTCTAGGCAAAGTGCAAGAGATTATCTGATGGTGGAGGTACTAGGAAAAATAAGACAGATGACATTTGTTCAATTCTAAACTAATAGATGTTTTTGGAATACTTTTAAATGAAAGCATTCAAAAGGTACTGATGGTATCTAATATTTCCCCTCCGAAAAGAAATCTTATATCCATTTGCTCAGATCACTCAGGGAAGATAGTCAGTATTGTCTTTGTTACCAAAAAAAGTACACAGTGAAAGGGAAAGCAAATATATGCTACTGTGTCAACGTGTGTTTCTGAAGGTCTTTGTTATCATTCAAAGATAGATTGTAAATAAAAATTAAAATATTCACAGTTTTCTTAAATATTTTTGAACCTTTTACATTTTGTGCTCTTATTCTTACCAATAGTATTTGATTCAAGAGATGAAACAGATACTTCTGATCCAACTAAACCAAAAAGAAGTGGTTGAAAAATATTCCATGTTTTTGAAATAATTTTTTGGACTCCAATCTGTGGAAAAGATAAATACATTTATAGTTACTGTGGCACATTAAAATAGTTACATTTCAGAAATTTAAAGTCACTTTTTAAAATTTTTAAAAATTATTTTTACATTTTTATTTTATTTTACTTTTCTTTTTGAGATAGGGTCTCACTCTGTTGCCCAGGCTGCAGTGCAGTGGCAGAATCTTAGCTCACTGTAACCTCAAATTCCTGGACTCAAGTAATCCTCCTGCCTCAGCCTCTTGAGTAGCTAGGACTATAGGCATGTACCACCATGGCCAGCTAATTAAAACTTTTTTTTTAGAGATGAAGTCTTGCTGTGTTGCCCAGGTCAGTCTCAAACTCCTGGCCTCAAGTGATCCTCTCACCTTGGCCTCCCAAAGTGCTGGGATTACAGGTGTGAGTCACTGCACCTGGCCTGTACTTAACATCTAATAAACTTAAGATATTTTATTTTTAGGAGAAGTGTTAAAACCTAATTAATAGAAATTGAGCAGGTGAATTCTTTTACTCAAACAGGTAGAATTAAGAAACCCATGAAGCTATAAAATAAACAATATCATTTGATCATTTTGACACATAATAAGTGAGGTCTTTGGAATTTCAGACATTTTTAATAAGAGTTTTAGCTTTTGTTTGTAAGGTAACTGAACAGAGATAGAACTACATCATGCCTGATGAGAACATACTCAGCTCATGCAAATATCTGTGTTCTCAGTAGGGAGTTGGGAAAACTTCCACTAACAATTATCCTGGAACCCAACTGTACGAAAGTGAATCCTGATATGTCATAAGCTACTGCAAAAACAATTTTGCAGTCTGTTAGGCCTGCTTCCAAAGGACCCATGTTGAATACTTCAAAGTTATTTTTTCCTTGAAATTAAACCAAAAACATATTCGATTCTTATTTGGATGCCTGTTAAGCTTCCTTTTCTGGGAATGACTCCCTCCAAGTGCCACTTTCCCTACTAAAAACTACAGGAAAGAGCTCTATTGGCATAACAGTATTCTGTCTCTTCTCTAGGAATTTGTTGAAGGGATTTTAGTCTCAGTCTGGGCTTATCTTTTCTTTACAGAAGATACATAAGAACATAAAACTTGGGAAGAAAGAGAAGGCTGATGTGATAATTCAACTTCTGATTGCATTTTAGTATATCTCCAGGTGCTTTTCCTAAATATTTTATTTCCTTGATTGATTCATATGCTTCCTTGAGGACACAAAAACTTTTGGAACATCTTACTAGAATGAGAGGATTTCCTAAATATACATTCTAGATGTAAAACATTCAGCTATTTTATCTT